GAGGAACAGTATTCCAAAAATTTCCGAAACTTCTTTCAAGTAAGAGGGATAATACCAGCATCAATTTGGCCCTACCCTCAAATCAACCAACCTGATCCAGAATCCTTCTCAAGATGGATGCAACACTGGGCAGAAACAAGAAGAGCAATGAATGACCAAAACCCCTATAGCTACTACGACAACTTTCCGCATGATCTCAATTCCTCCACAGCTTGTCCAAAAAGTGATTCACTTGTGTCCACTCAACAGAATAAAAAAGAAGCTAGTCCAAGTCCAATGAAWAAATCTGGTCAGCGCGGCTCAGCCCAAAAACGCTTTTATACTTGCAACATTTGTGAAAAAATCTTCAACAATTCCATCAGCTTGAAGCAACATCTGATTGTACATTCCTCGAAGAAGCCATTCTCATGTCATATCTGTGAGAAATCGTTCAAGCGTTCGTCTACGCTTTCCACTCACATGCTCATTCACTCGGATACCAGGCCTTTTGAGTGCGAGTTTTGTGGTAAGAAATTCCACCAGAAATCAGACATGAAGAAGCACACTTACACACACACCGGAGAAAAGCCTCATTGCTGCACGTTTTGCGGCAAGTCGTTCAGTCAGTCATCCAATCTCATCACCCACTGCCGCAAACACAAGGGATTCAAGCCTTTTTCGTGTAGGGAATGTGGAGTGTCGTTCTTCAGGAAGGTTGACCTCAGAAGGCATTATTACTTGCACGATGTCAAGGACTAGTCTCAAGTCACGTGACCAGCTGCAATGAGTAGTCACCCGCACYAGATATTCAGCAAGTRTGTACTGATTAACCAAGCACACTGSTTTTGTGACCAACWAGCTTTGAAGAAAATTTCGCAGCTATACAAGCTTCATTACTAAAAGAAAGACCAAAGTACAGAATTTGTTAGGTTAAGCGAGTCAGGTATWTTCATAGCCCTGTCACGTAATGACGATTTGACAATTGATTTATAAACATGTAGTATGGATATTTCGAGACTATCTGATTAAAATCAGATATTAGATGAGTCTGAGAGAAAAACTCTATACCATCTAAAGTAGATCGATTGTACTTGGTCCGTGAGAAAATAGTAAGCTTGATACACATTACTAGACACTTATTCCATTGTTGTTTTTTGTTTTTGTTTTTGTTTTTGTTTTNTAAATTGTCGATTTGTCAAAGGAATCTGCTTTTTCGAGAAGCAAACAAATATACGATTGTTGCCTAATAAACAAACACATGAATTCTTGAAAAATACTTCTAGATCAATCTTTGACTACGTAAAAACGGTTTTGTTGTTGTTGTTGTTGTTGTTATTATTATTTTGATTTTTTTTTTTTTTATTTTTATTTTTTTTTTTTGTTGTTGTTGTTTGTTTTTTTTGGTTTTTTGTTGTTGTTTTTTTGTTGTTTTTTGTTGGGTTTTTTTTGTTGTTTTTTTTGTATTTGTTTTACTTTGACTCTAGTCACTAATTATTATACAACAAATAAAATTACTCTAACGATGATGATCAAAGTTATGATATTCCTGAATAGAAAATATGACAAGGAAGATACCAAATTCAATTGGTCACAGTTTCCGAAGTGGTATTTAGTTTGTTACCTTTGTATACGACTTTTATAGCCTTCTTTCTGAGAACATATTAAAGATCATTTCGCTGACATCTTTAAGAAACTACATAAATGAAACATGAAACGTTCCGCACTAACTTTGATTATTTACCATAAATTCTAAGTTTAAATGGTTTAGGTGTTAATTTAATCGTTAGTCTTGGATACGATTTTATTTGTATAGACATTCTTATATTACTATGAACACTAATGTGAAAGATTTAAAGGCAAAATGGTTCAAAATTCATGCATTTCTCATCATTAACATAATCATCATTAACATCTTCAAAATAATATTACAAAGAGATTATTGCATGTTCARAGCCTGATATCCTTTTTATTCACTCGTTTTCCATATGATTATTTTATTATGTTGATGTTGACTGTAATGATGATGTTGGTGATGATGACGGTGGTGATGGTGATGGTGTCGATGCATGATGATGATGATGGAAATGTTGATCATGTTGGTGATGATGACTGTGATGATCAACGATGATGATAATGATGATGATGATGACGATCATGATCATGGCGATGATGATGATATTTGTGATGATGATAATGACGATGATGATGGAAATGTTGATGATGCTGCTGATAGATGATGATACTGCTTGATGTTGATGACGAAAATGAGTGATATCCTTGACGAGGCCTGGAACACATTAATTATGATCATTGATGATAATGATGATGAAACAGACTGAGACATTGACAGCAAAACATCTGAAAGCGTTAAGAGCGGCTGTCTGTAAAAATCAGACAAAAGGTGGCAACAGTCAAAAAATCGATTTTGTTCATACTTTRAAGTTAGATACCCTATCATATRAYATTAACCCCTGTGCACTTACTTTTGCAAAATTATTTTTTGTTCGGGAGAAATTTGAATTTTTATGCAGATAGGCAAATATGCTAATTTGACGACTCTGAAATTGAGATAAATCACCGATCTCGTGTACGAAATACAATCAACCTTTCYAACCTAATAGACTTACAATGGYTTTCAGACATGTAGCTGTAACGAAGAATTTCTGGAAGAATTATTTGCAAGACACAGTTTTCTTGAGCTTAAAAGTACCCTCAAAACAAGTGAGAATTTTACCATGGCCGATACAACGGAAAAGCGAGATTTTCACTGTATGTGATGTCAAGATGATATTGTTCAAGMTTGTGGAAAACAATTCTTAGGTAAATGTGTTTTTGAGTTTCTAYGATCGATCAAATATGCCTAAATACGTTGTTTCAGAAAGGATCGTGTTTGCATAAATTAGCAAGTAAATGACTGCCAAAATTAAAATAATATTTTTCAAATCTTTTATAAGCCGTTTGAGACWTCAATACTTAGCAAATTTGAGGGATTTTTCTGAAGAAAGAGCAGCATTTACTCCCTACCGCTTCACAAATCATGAATTCTAGGTGTAGTGATGGTCATCAACCCAAAACAGCGAAGGCGTTGCGTGACCACCGGCGGCGGGATAATAGATACACTGTGTGCATGTGAGTTTTTAAAAAAAAGATGTATCCAAATAAATATCGAAAATACTACTTTTATTTCCCGTTATTAACTACATTTGTGCGTCTTCCTCCTTTTGTTTTAGTATCTAAAAGTATAACGTTCGTGTTAGCAGCTCCTGGCCGTTCAAATCTAAGCAATGCTCTGATGACGTATTCCAGAGTTAATAAAGGGGACTCCCCTCTATTA